GCTGAAGTCAGACACTTAACCGACTAGCCACCCAGGCACCTCTACTAGGCTCTGTTTTAGATGGTAGAGATACAGTAGAGAATAAAAAAGACAAGAGTCCTGCCCTCATGAGTCTTCTGTTTTAATGAAGGGTGGAGATAATAAGAGTCAATGCTATGAAGAAAAAAAATACAGTATCAAGGGGATAGAGAAAGAAACTGCTATTTTAGGATGGTCTCTGATGGCATCTTTTAAACACCTGAATGAAGTGAGAGGTATAGGCTTTGGTCATATCTGGACAAATGCATTTTAAATAGAAGAGGAAATCTACAGATCCTGAAATGGCAGTATGCCTGGAATGTTTGAGGAACAGCAAATAGGCCAACGTGGTTAGAATGGTAGGGGATGAGAGGCCAGATATTTATTCTAAGCCTGGGAGGGTTTTGAGTAATAGAGAAACCTGAGCTGACGGAGGCTTGAAAAGGATCTCTCAGGCTGCCGAATGGAGACTAGACTGTCAGGTTATTCTAGTAGTCTGTGAAGAGATGGAGATGGCTTGGGCCGGGGAAACCATGAAGGAGCTTGTGAAGAGCAATCAGATCTAGGTCTGTGTTTATAAATCGAGCAGTGAGGATTTGTTGGCAGATTTGTACACAGATTACACACCGTGAGGTGTGGAGGCAACCCAGGGTTTGGGGATGAGCATCCATATGGAAGGAAGACGGTGCTCTGTGCTAATCTGGGGAAGTATGGGGTTGAGGTATAGAGGTTGGGGTTAGAGATACAAGTGGAGTCATCTGCTCAGAGATGATGCATGGAGCTTGGGTAGTAGATGGTATCACCTAGGGAGGCCGTGTGGAAAGAGAAGTCCCAGGACTGAACACTGGGGCTTCAGCATTTCGCAAAGCTGAGGAGGAAGACACAGCAGAGAGTATTTAAGGAATAGCTAGTGAGAGGAAACCAAGAGAGTGTGATATCTGGGAAGGGAAATACGATGCTTCAGCAAATGGGTTGCTGGAGGTTATTTTGGGACTTTCAGCTTAAGGCTACACAAACATTAAGAGATGTTGGGAAACTGCTGCATTTTATCCTTTCTAATTCACATTTCTGTAATTTTAAAAGTATGTTTAAATCTGAGAAGTGACATGTCATTTTTTATCATCTCTATTTTTAAGTGCATTTTATTGAGACTAAGTAGGTAGTTTAGTGAAAGAACTTAAATGTGTATGAAATCGTTTTTAATGCTGGCTTAGTTTACTGCATGTCTTTAAATACAGCATTGTTTCAAATTTTAGTAATTGGTGATTTGTCTATATGTGATGAATTGTATGCAGTTGTCATACTTCTGCGTTTTGGCTGCTTGAATATACATCTAAAATGGCCAACGTGTATTGCCTTGTTTATACGTGTTATACAGATAATTAAAATGACAATAGACTAGTAAGATAATTTTAAAGATACTGTAGGTCCTCTAATTATTCACTGATAGCTAAGAATAAATACATATTTTTGAAAGTTATTTATTTTAAATTTCATAGTATCTTAATGTAAAAGAAGTGCCAAGAGGCAGTAGATACCCATTAATTGTAGCCATATTAAAACTACAATGAAATTATTATGCTTTATCATATTTTCACAATAATAAATTATAACCTGGTTCCCTAAAATTCAGTTTGCACAAATTTGTACTAGAGGGCTTTATTTGTAAGGTTAGGTTCTTCTGGGACAACAGAAAACACAGAGCAGCTTAAACAAGACAGAAGTATTTTCCTCTTCCAAAAGAATACCACACCTAGAAGTAGGGTAGTGTTGTTCATGGATCTAGGCGCCTGTCTTTTTGTTCTGCTGTCCTTACCACCCAGCTTCGGCCTCAAGCTAATATGGCTGATTCAGTTTAGCCATCACATCTGCATCCCAGCAAGCAGGAAGAAGGTAAAGGAAAGAGAAGATCTTCCCTTCCAGGATACTTCCCAGAAACTGCACATAACAATTTTGTTTTACATCCCATTGGCCAGATCTTACTCACGTGGGCACACGTTAGCTACAAGGGAGTAACTCTGGGCACTTCTGTGCTTATCTAGGATTTGGGGTTCCCATTATTGACAGGTATAGGTGTCAGTGTGCAGCTAGCAATCTCTGCGCCACTGGGCTTTTTACACAATAGGGAGGAACCGATTTTATACCAATGTGTGTTTTTTCTGTGTTAACGTATAAGTTACCTAATACATACTTCATAATCATCCCATGAATTTTGTAATGGATTTAGCATAGGAATTTGCCCTATATCCAACCATACCTATCTTTCTCTATATTTTATCAACTAGGAAGTCATTACAAGATAGTGATTAAGAGTATGGAGCCACGCTGTCTAGGATCATATCTGCCAGTGGTGTAACCTTGAGCAAGTTTTTTAACCTTGCACAGGGTCTTTATCTTCAGAGGAGAAGATAGTAGTACCTAAATCACACATCATCATAGGATTAAACGATTGGTTGAAAAAAACTTAGAAAAGCTCCTGGCATGGAGCGAGCCCTCAAATTTTAGCTATTACTATAAATTGGCATGTTCTTAGTGGAAGTAATTTTAATGGTATCCCAGGTAAAAGTAAATTATCTATAAATTTAACTTGTAAAGATGTATTGATATTTTGCTGTGATTGAGGAAAAGGGACCAGATAATTTAAAAAGAAGTCTGATTTGTTTATTTCATTTTGGTGTGTTTGGCTAATTATATTGAGAGATTTTCCTGTTTGGAGTACTGTATTTTAGAACATGTATACAAATACACATTCTGCAAATAGGTATCTATCTTTTGAAGTTTTTGTGTAAGGTGTGCTTTTAAGTCCATTCAGAGCCAAGAAGTCAAAAGACTATTAGCAATGAAAATATACTTGTGTCTTGGGATAAGTAAAGTGAACAATCAACCTGTTACAGGATAGTTATGTGGCGATTCAACGTTGAGTGTCTTTTGAAGTAGAACCAGGCTTAAAGCTTTGTGCAGTTTACTTTTCTAGGAGGTCTTCCCTGAATCTATGGCCTTGGTTAAATATTCTTTGTGTTCTTCATACAGCGTGCTATACATAATTCTTTTAACACTTGGCAGGCTTTATTGAAGTTGTTTCTCTCTGTCTTTCATACTACATCATAAACAGAGACTCATTCTTATTTGTATATTCTGCATCCTATACACTTGTAGGTATACAAGACAATGAGCTTGTTACAGTGAACAGCAGTACAGGTTACCACTTTTGTAGGGGTTGTGATTTTCATCTCAAGTCAGAAATAACAGCATTTTTTCATGGCCTTAAATTATTCTCTAAATTTGGTCATGTGCAACAAGATGTTTAGAAATAGGCATATTTCCAAAGTAAGCTACGATGCTTGAGGCAAAGTAACGCTCCGTGATATTGAAATCCAGTTTAGGAAAGTTCTGCTTTCTAACTCTGTATTCGGTACCTTTTGTACGTACTGTCTTATTTCTCACTCCATACTAAAATATTAACAACAATAGACTTATTGTGTGTTTTTAGAGTATGGCTGCTTTATCAGTTTAGCTGGTGTCATGTGAAATGCAGAAGTAAATAAGAGTGCATTGTCTTTTGAAGGACAGTAACATTTGTTTCACCTGTTGAGTCTAAAAACAGAATCTGCTGTGGTTAAATTAGAGCCCAGATGAAGTGTGTGTATATGCATAGGTGTACATGTATATCTATAACTATATGTCTAATATGTATATTTTAATGTTAAAATTGAATTATCTCCCCCACTGGCAGGTGATCAAGTTCTTTAGTTTCATAATTAAAACAAAAGCCTCTGTTTTGTATGGGATGTGTGGGCGTAATACAGGGCCTCAGAGTGTGTAGGGTGCTTGCTGAGGTGGTAAAGCTAGACACAGTTAATCTGTGCTCCTTACTAATCATGTCAGATTCATGCGGAGAGTTCCTGGTCACTCTTCTGGCGGCTGTGCATCCTGCACCATCACAGGGTCTGCAAAGGGGCTGCACTGAAAACTGCTGACGTGCCATCGCACAGACATTTCATTCTAGTAACTTTCTCAGTGGATTTTAATGAACCTTTCTAATAGTCCATCAGAGATTCAGGCATTAGAGGAAAGTCCTCTATTAGAGGAAAGTATTTTAATGGACTCTAAACAACGATCATCCTTAATGTTGGCATTTAGTCAAACAAGTGTTACGATGTAGAAATGCTGAATAAACCAGAGTGTCCCTGCATACCTTTTTCTTTGCCACAGTGGTCTACGGTCCTGTCATCCTTTCCGCATGTATCAAGTGCAGAGCTCTCGTATGAGGAATGACTCAAAGGAAATAGGAGGCTACTATGCTCTTAAACCTTAGTATTTTCATTTTTTATATTTTTATTATATCAGTTGTAAACTTTGAACAGGTTAAACTTGCAATATCATTTATAATAATATGTTTAAGATGTTTTTATCAAACTTCCTTATTTACATACAGCTATATATAAAACTGTTGAATTAAATGGCAAGTTGTGATGAGTTTTTGCTACTCATCTTTTATTTTAATATTTAGGTGGTTTTTTAGTTAGGAATATAATAAATTCCTTCCGGTTTTATTTTTTGAAAAAGAAAGCTGTGAAGAGAATTATAAACAGTTTTGAAAATATTTAAAAATGTTTATATCCTATATTAAGTGTGAAGGACTAGGATACCTATATTGTTCTTACATTTCAAAAAACAAGTAGGCCTTATTCTCTAGGCATTGCTCTGAAATCACATTGTCCTCATATGATCTGGGAACTAAGGTTAACTCTTTTATGTTTTGGTTTCAAATCTCAAAAGATGATTTTGGTTAATATGCTTCGAGTTAAACATTAGCTTTTTATTTAAGAAATATACTGTCTTCAGTAATTTCCTCCTTATTCATTTTCCCTTTTTTTTTTTTTTTTTTTTTTTTTTTTTTTTTTTTTTTTTTTTTTTTTTTTTTTTTTGGCCTTTCAAATAGCTCCATAATCTTAAAACTTCCCTTTCCTGTCTTTTTAAAGGTCGACTGAGCTATCCACATCCAGGAACTGATAATCTGTTGATGTTAAATGGTAAGTTGTATACAAACATTTTATGTTTCCAGTTGACTTTTATAAATAAATATAATTGAGTACATGGTTCTCTATACCTTGCATATACATAGAAGTTAAATATTTTATAGGTATAAAGATAAAGCTACAGCGTTTCCTGTACAGAAAGCAGAATTAGGAGTTTGGAATGTGCCTATTTCTGATCTCTGGCATATAAATCCTAGCTGTCAAAGCAATTATTGCAATGTATTTGTGACAGTATGATTTAATTCATTGATCACAGATTTTGGAGATCGTCCTGAGTTTGAATATTGGCTTTCTAGTTTTTGGTATGACTTTGTTTAGAAACTTCTGTGAGCCTTCATTTCCCATCTATGAAATGGGAATAACAATCTCAAGGATTATTATGAGAATTAGATGATGTTTGCAAAGTGCGTAGAACTTGTTACTTAGTATAGCACTTGTGCTTATGTTAACTAAGGAATGAATATACTTGTGACTCTGTAAATATGGTGATCACGCTAACTTAATTTATTCTAACTAGAAAGTTTACACAGTGAACTTCACCAGAGTTAGAAACAGGATAAATAAACTTTATTAAAGTTTGTTCTTCTGTTGGACATTGTTTTCAAGTCCCAGTACTTAGTACACCCGTGACTGTGGGAGTAGACATGGAAGGTGAAAATATCCTTCATACAGGTATTTTTAAATCAGAGGGTGGACAAAGAGAGAGAGGTAGAAAGAAGGAAGAATAGACATAGTACTTAAAAAATACATAATTATATCATTAGAATGACTTGGCTCTTCTATTTCAACTAAAGCTCTGTTGAAAACAGATGATAGGGAGGTTGGGGAACAAAGGTTGAAAAAAGGCCAGTGTAAAGCTAGACCTTGTGAACTTATACTAAGTAATAAAGACTCTAGTGACAGAGGGGTGGGAATAAAGTCCAGGCTTCCTGGGAGATTGGCAAGGTGTCAGATAGGATTTTGGAATGAGAGAAAAATTGAAGAAGCAGGGTGTCTGTGGTGCGATTGATTGCTTCATTCAACTTTAGATTGTTATATATTGAGTTGCCCACCACGTGCCAGCGCAATCTGAGCCCTGGGGTATGTGTTAGGATCTTGAAGGATGGTTAGAGGTCAAATTGGCAAGGTCCTAACACTGGGGCCTAATTGTGCTCTCTAGCTGAGGCCGTGTCTGGGCTGGACCTTACAGCAGTACAGCAGGCCACATTCATGAATTCAGTGAATTATGGTGCTTACATAGACTTTGACCAGAAGGGCACTAGAAATCGCATTCCAGGACTTCTTCAGTCAACTTTTTTTCTACCATGGAATTAAAACAACACATCACTTGAGTAGCTGGTCTCTAAACTCTGTATCTGTGACTAAAACTTACATTGATGAAATTGAGTTTACAAACTGAAAATAGATCATAATTTTGTATTATCCTCATAACTTGATCTATAAAATAACGATGGGATTAAGCAGCAAGCTCTTTATGTATTTATCCTGACTTCCTCAAATAATTTGCTTTTGGGACGTTCTGTGTGATAAAGATCATTTCCATTTTAACTTCTAAAAACAAGTCAGTAGAAAAACTTGAATTTGTGAATATTTCACATACTCTGTTAAGATCCATTTGAAGGAAGGTGCTGTATGAGACAGTTTGTTAGATGATTCACAGATGATCTGGGATTGCTGTGTGCCTACCACACTAGCACGATTCAGAAGTATGTTGCAACCACAATAGAATACATAAGTTATGTATGAGCAAAGAGCTTAGGAGCCACACTGTTTTTACACGAAATATTATTAAGCTAATTGAGTTCATCAGTTGCCTGAAGCCTTCATAAGTAACCTAGATGTTAGGTTATCAGTGTTTTATCACCTAGTAGACACAAGAATATTTTATTTCAGGCAAGAGTTGAACCTTGTGGACAAATCTGCTTTTTCATTATGTGAGCACTCTTCATAGCCTGCCACTTCAGAGCCATGTTATGTGCTCGATACAGTGAGCTGTCCTGGACATTCTGAACTTCTTCTGGCAAGGGAGTAGGGGACAGAAGAGATAATGAAACTAGGACATCAAAATGTGTTTAGGTCAGTAGGGACAATTTGATCCAGAGAGAAAAAAAATTATTTTGCTCATTTGGGAGCATTGTTAAGAGGGGAACAGAGGTCAAGAAATTGGGTATATTTATTATGACCGGGAAGTATTTGAATATTAAGAATTTAAGTAATTTTTTGTAGACATCAAGGTCATTGAAGAGAGAAGTGGGCAAATGGCAAGAAGGAGTAAGGGGAAATTTTCCTTGAGCTGCTTTTAATTCTTACAGTTCAACTATATTCTTAGCATATTGTCTCCCTAGGAAATATGGGAATTAAGTGATGTCAATACCAAGCCTCTGCCTGTACTAAATTATTATTAAATATTATTGATTAAAGGAATTGTAGCATCTCAATACATAGACCTACTTTTTAAATTTTGTCACAGATTTGAACTCATCATTAGCAACTAAGTAAGTTGTATTACTTAACCAATAAGCATAGCTAATATTATTGACTTTGAAAATCAGTATTTGGCAATAAATTATAAGTCAGTGGTTTTGTGTGTGTGTGTGTGTGTGTGTGTGTGTGTGTGTGTGTGTGTGTGTGTGTGTGGTGGTGGGGTTAACAATAGTTAACAGTAGTTGGTACCACAGACTCTGGAGCTAGATTATCTGGATTTAACCCTAATTTTGCTATGACCTTGGACAGTTCACCTAACTTCAGTTAGACTCAGATTCTTTATGTCAAAAGGAGATAAAATGCTGCCTGCTTCAGGGGATTGTTTTTTGAGAAGTGAGGGAATTCATTCATGTAAAGTGTTTAGAACAGTTTCTAAAAGTGAGAGTTAGCTGTGACAGTGGGTGATGGTGAACAGTGACAAAATGGCTTTGAAAGAGTATTAATCCTGTCTTGTGAATACATAAATTGTTGGAGAATATAAATTGAAAGAAGACATAGCCAGTGTTTTCAAGTATTTGAAGGATGTTCAACGTATATGTAGTGACCAAAGAAGGTTTGTCTTATGTTACTGCAGAAAGTCAAACCAGACCCATTTGGAAGAAGCTATATAGGAACAGAATGTGGGTCAAAAGCAAAATGACTCTCTCCCAGTGCTCCCTAAGGAGTGGTGCACATGTCCCATGTGGTACCCAAGACAATCTTTGGTGGCGCACAAATACATATTATAATAAATGCATGACTATAACAATTTGAGAACATTCCTTAGAAAATACAGAACTGGAAGAAATCTATGATGTTACTAGGCTATTATTAGGTGCTAGGCTTGAGTCCATTTAATAAAAATAATATTATAAATACTAGTGTAGTTGTTATGCAGATAAGGCAAATGTTGTAAAAAGCTTTCATGAGTCTGCCTTCCTGGTCAATTAACATTATAGTTAAACTGTGAAATATTCCTTTAACGGATAAACAGGGAATGGGGTAAAGGTCAGGAAGTTGGTCAGACTAGGTAAAACTGTGAAATACCTCTAACAGATCCTTATATTTCAACCTCTCTTAACTCAGAAAAAGAGATAGTATCCCATATCCATATGTCTCTTGAAGTTGTATAGACAAAATAAAATTTAACAATAAAAAAAATGCCATAGAAATATAACTGCAGGTAGGCTCCTGAACAGACCATGTTCCTCCATCTAACTAGAAATCAAGTTGAATTGACTGGTGGAGACTGCTACCATTTAATAAATATTGTAGAGGGGTCCAAACCTAACATCCAGAAGCACTTTAGGGAAGTAATATTATATAGGAATGGGTAGATTGTCTAAAAACCAAAATGCAAGCACTATGTGAATTTAGAATGACAGCTTGAATGTTGTACTTCCAAGTGTATAAATCTCACATATTTTATTCTCAGTAGGAAAAAACAAAATAAAACCACCCTGTTTTCCATAGCAGTGAGGACCAATGCAAAATGATGTATCATTCAGGTACTTGTTTCTGTTTGGATCATGTTGTGCTCCCCTCACCCCTCTCCCAAGGAAAAATAGCTTATATTTTTATTAGTACATATGGCTTCTCAAAAGGGAGACAGATAGCAGAAGTACAGGGGGATGCAAGCTAGTTTGAAATTTAAATTTGCTGTCATTAGCCATATACATCTATGTTTATAATCAAGGGCTTGCTCTACTGTTTGGAAGGAGAGAGGTTATGTTTATCTTTTAATTAAGAAAACTTAGTGAAATTGTATTTCTGAGGGCAGAGTCTCTAAATGTACTGTATTAAGTCCTGAAAATATGAAATTTGAGTACGTAATCAATTCTTTTTTATGCTAATGGAAATGAGTAGATAACAGATTTATTTTAGATCTTGAAAAGGATAATTTGCGGGTATATTTCTCTCCCTGGTTTTGGCTTTTCAGAGCAAGAAATAAGAATTTCTTTAGTTTCACACCAAGAGAACTTTAACCTAAATATTTCTGGCTAATTTGTTATGTTTCCTTATCTGTTACTCCAGCTGCAGTAAATCAGCCACAGCCATTGCTAAGAGCCAATATGTAAGGGCACAGAGACACTGAAGATAATGTCAGAATCATCCTTTTTCTTTTTTGGTAGCAATGGGTTAGAACCTAAATGAGATTATTGATAACCCAGGACCAAATTTTAAACTCACTCTTGTAGGAAAAAAAATTTTTTTTTCAAAGCCTTATTATTATTATCTTAAAAAATGTAGGGGCGCCTGGGTGGCGCAGTCGGTTAAGCATCCGACTTCAGCCAGGTCACGATCTCGCAGTCCGTGAGTTCGAGCCCTGCGTCAGGCTCTGGGCTGATGGCTCGGAGCCTGGATCCTGTTTCCGATTCTGTGTCTCCCTCTCTCTCTGCCCCTCCCCCGTTCATGCTCTGTCTCTCTCTGTCCCAAAAATAAATAAAAAACGTTGAAAAAAAAAATTAAAAAAAAAAAAAATGTATATGGAGGGGCACCTGGGTGCCTCAGTCCAGCTTCAGCTCAGGTCATGATCTCACGGCCCGGTCTGTGGGTTCAACCCCCACGTCGGGCTCTGTGCTGAGAGCTCAGAGCCTGGAGCCTGCTTCAGATTCTGTCTCCCTCTCTCTCTGCCCCTCCCCCCCTCACGCTCTGTCTCAAAACTAAAATAAACATTAAAAAATAATGATAAAATAAAACATATATGTAAAAAAATATAATCTAACATACATACACACACACACACACACACACACACATATTTACACACGTGTGCTAAATAGCCAGTTCCTCACTTCTGAATGCGTGGTAATTTTTAGTAATAAGTTTTATAAAACTTAGGTAACTGAAATTGAATGTTCTAAATAGTTTTTATACAAAAATTGCTCACTTTTTTTTCCTAAGTCCTATTCTAAATGAGTTTGGAGGGGCATATTGTTTAAAGAAGTCTTCCTTAATTAAAACTTAATGAATAGTAATTTAATGATTTTCTTTTCTCATTGGAACTTTTGATAACTCTGAATCCGAGTTATGGTGGAACAGAAATTCACATGAGAAGAGCTCGGGTAGGAAAATGAGTCCGTACTCCATTGTTTAGTGTGATGATAGCAGATTGGTTCTTTCCATGACAGGGGATAGGAAGTGTTTCACATGATCTAGCTTCATCTGCAGGCAGTTCTATTTTTGGTAATGTAGAGAGCTGGAATTTGAGAGTTGTCCAGAAAATAAGTGCAATAGCTCAGAACTCTAAAATTCCTCAGGTATGAGGTAGTTGGAGAACTCTTCTAAATAATGTGTTCAAGCCTAGGAATGAGATGAGACTTAAGATGCTATGAACATTCGTACGTATTTTGACTATTTTAGCATTGAGTAGCCTCAGCAAAGAACATAACAGCTAAGAATATAAACTGGTTGTCGTGTCATTAATTTTCTCAAAAGGTCAGGAATTGTGGACCACATTATTACGTCCTTATAATTCATAACTTGACTTTAAACTTGATGAGAGTAGTTTTATTTGCTTTGTAAATGATCCGTCTTCTACACCCATGACTGAAATTCCGTAAAGCAAATCTATACTGGATTAATATCATTTCGATCATGCCTGGAGAGAAGTAGGAAGCCTAACTTCTTAGACTTGTGCTGTGACCGTTTGGGAGCCTATTGACCATTTCCACACTTAATACAACAATTAAGACTGCAGGGAATTCGCTCTTGTATAGTCTGTTTTTGACGGCTCTTTTAAAATTCCTACTCGATTTTCCATAGTTGATCCGCTATCTCTTTGAGACCCTGTGTTTTTAAGGCCTTTATAAGTCTTCCAGGATTTCCACAGCAAAATTCTAAATGTCATTTCCGCCCCTACGTCACCCTAAACAAATATGTATGTCAGGTAATCTATATGTAATGTATACAGGTAATGTACATCTAAGCTCGATAGACACACAAAAACACACACAGGTAAGCTTGTATATAAACTAATGTACAGGTCAGACAGTCTGCTAGGCTGTGGTAGCTGGAGCTCCCAAAAAGGTTAAAACTGCAGTAGTTATAGCTAAATAAAGACAATAGAGAGGCAGAGATGCAAATGAAGTTATTTTGTATAACAGATGTAAGCCTTGTATTTATTGACTTAAAGTGTAATGAGTAAGGGTTACTGTAGGGGTATTAATCCTATATTTTCACCTGTGGGCACACTTCTTTATATTAAAAACTTACATTGTAAAACGTCTGTAGTAGAATGTATTTAATGATGTGAAATGTCTTCCTTTGGTCTTTGCTTTATACTTTTGGGGAAGACTACATTTCTTACAACTCTTAACATATGTTTCGATTTGAGATTTATTCAGAAAGAAACTTTCCCAGGCCAAAACAAAAAATTCATAAGACATGGGTTAAGATCTTGATTTTAACAGTGATTTTTGTTTTAGTTTACTGCTTTGATTTCATATGTTAATTCCAGGGTAAAAATACTCATTGTGTACTCAGATTTGCAAGGAGGAGTTATTTAAAAATAAGTTGTGGGTTTTATCAAACTGGTAGTTTATTATGGAGAATAAATTGCAGTGTTTTTTCTCCATATGGAATTATGTAAACTGCTAATAAGGTAGTTTGAAATGTCTTTCTGCTTCATACTTCTGAATATTCAATATCTGTGCTAGTCTATGATGATACTAAGAACAATTTGTATCTGAATCCCTTTTACCCCAGAGAGAGAGAGACATAAGCACTTAGATAGAGGTTATAAAATGTACCAGAAGGATTGAAAGCATTGGTAACTGTAGTGTATCATTAATCATTTTTTCAACTAAGCAAGTTTGAACATGGATTGATGTCTTTACCTTCTATCTAAGCTCTACAGGCTTCAGAATATCAGTTTAACATTGTTATATCTTTTCATACCTCTGTGTCTTCCAGTACTTTCTCCGCACAGGGCTTGATATAATGTGAATTGGATTTGAATAGCTGTTTGTTGGACTGTATCTACTATATCTCTCTTTATAATTAGTAAAATGAGGATTTAATTCAAGTTGTTTGCATTTATTACTTGGGATGCTATTTAACTGTAAGGTGTTACATATTACCATCTTGATCAGGTGCAAGAAATATCTATTCATGAATTGGAGCATGTATGAGAATAAATTGCATATTTCCTGTTAATTTCATTTTATGGTACAGTGCAGAATATATATATATAATAAAAGTGGTTTGTAAATGGTAAAGCACATGCAGCTATTACATGGGGACATTGTCCTAGCTCTTAAAACAAAGTAGTCCTAATTACTAGATGCCCACTTAGCTTTTCATATCACAAATATTTGTATGTGTGGGCTTGTTTTTAGTTCTGACATTTTACAATTTGTCCTTTGTTTACATGCAGCAAGGAGTTATGGGCGAAGACGAGGTAATTCCTTTCTGTTTGCTATGGTATAACTGTTTTTAATTGGGTTTTACTGATCAACTCTATAATTAGCCTAGATTTTTTTTATGCACTGAAAACTCACAGAAAAGTTATATTTTGATTTGCACACTTGTCAAATTTTTGAATCCTGTATCTCTTAACTTTAAAGCACATTTCCATACTAATCTGGTTACTTAATAAATGTTTTCCTTTTAGACTGTCTAGACTCTAACTGTTTATTTTCATAATTTTAAAGTAAAGCTGCTGTTTATGGTTTGCTTAAGAAAAATGTTTAATAAACACTAGTGAAGGTGACTTGCAAGGCGATTTTTCTGCTCTCTAAATCTGTAACTGGTTGCCATACCTATGATTAGTTTTATGTCTGACCCAGTTGAAAGTAAATAATACCAGATAGGCTATTGTTAACACTGGTGTATGGAAATCATGTTGCTAACATTTCTGTGTGTCTTCGGAGAATATAATGCTTTCCTTCTCCCTCCCTGGACCGTGCAGGCACACTCACACGCTCTGTCACACACCCTTTCTCTCTCCCCCGCAACAGTCTTCCTCTCTGGGTTCTTGCTATCTGAAGGACAAAACGAGGCCTCTGAGATGCCGGACTACTAAACCTCTTTGGAAAGCAGCTGACAGTGTCTGTGGCGCTTTAAACTTGGCTTCTTTTTTGTATGTACAGAGAGACTGAGAGGGAGAAAAGTACATGGGATGCAAAGAAGCAAAAGTAGCTTTACCTGCTAGCTTATCCTCTAAGTGCGCAATAATCATGATACTTATGTAGCCGTCATAAGGACCAAAATGAGTAAAAAGGGTTTTCCTTGACCCCTGAAATCTCCCTTGAGCCATGGAGGATAGACCATAATAATAGTGCCTTTTGATACATTTTATAACCGCGTGCCAGTGCTTCACTTTCTTTTCATGTGGTCATGAGTATGTGCACTTCGAAAACAAACAAGCTAAATCTTTCTGCCACCGCTGATGACAGAAACAAGTATTCTATATTCTTAAGTAGTATTTCCAGTTTTGTATTTCACATTGTCTGAATTTAACTTCCTTTTTGGAATCTGTTTTTTTCCCATGCTTGACTAAATCTCTTGGTTCTTTAGTTTTCTTAATGAAAAAATTATAGGATATAGAAGCTCAAAACTCAGACACTAAAGCTGAATAACTTTCTGAAGGTTGCGGCTAGCAACTGAGAAGAGAGGGGGATGGTTAGAACTTCAGTACCTGTTTTCACGTCTGTAGACTGCCTTGTTTCGCTGTGCTTTTTAGGTATTTTTGAAACTACGGAGCATATTTAATTTAGGATCTTTTCCTTTTATACACTTTCATCTTTTAACCCTAGTGGTTTATTCTTAATGTGATTTGGCATACTCCAACATAATATCAGGACCTAGGAAGTTCTCAGGAACTAGGTGTCAGAAAGTCCTGTTGTTTATCATCTTTTTTCTCAGTTTAATAATGGTAGACTATGATTATGATATTAAGAAAAAGCAAAATTTTCTTCTTTCAGATAGAAACTTATTACTGCTCTTCATGGCTCCCAGAGGATAGAGATCTATAAGATTTCCTCTACTTGAGGATTGCCTGTCAGCTTTGGAAGAAAGAAGACTCTCACATGGTCCTAAGGCTTCTACAGAAGCTTTCTGTAATTCGGAACTGACCTGTCATACTTATTTGGCTTAGTGTGGAGGGATAACGCCTGAATTTTCCTCTCAAGTTATATGGCATTAGTAATTTTTTAGTTGGTTCTCTGTGAATAGTCAGAGTCTGCTTTTAAAATTTCAATTTTGGGGGCTCCTGGGTGGCTCAGTCGGTTGGGTGGCCGACTTCGGCTCAGGTCATGATCTCGCGGTCCGTGAGTTCAAGCCCCGCGTCGGGCTCTGTGCTGACAGCTCAGAGCCTGGAGCCTGTTTCGGATTCTGTGTCTCCCTCTCTCTGACCCTCCCTCGTTCATGCTCTGTCTCTCTCTGTCTCAAAAAAATAAATAAACGTTAAAAAAAAAAATTAAAATTTCAATTTTGATAATCAAATGAAAAGTGTACCTATTATAAATACCTATTGAGAAGGTTATGTGAATTTGAAAGTACTTTGACACAGTACGTAATAAAACATTAAAAAAAAAAAAAAACCACACACATACCAAAGGAATGACTCAGAAAAGACTAGAAGTAGCCTGGCTCTCTTCCTATTTTCTACTCATTTTTTCCCCCTTCTGTGCTAGATACAGTGCCATTATCACACTGATAATTTTTTAACTTCCAAGATCCCCCTTTTATGGGCTTCATGTTTAAGGTTTGGTCCATCAAAGGAGCTGCATTTGTTAATTTTATTTAGTCATTTTTCCTTTCTTAAAAAAAAAAGTCTTACACATATCTGATCTGCTCATATGGGATGTGTCACAATAAGTTGATGCAGTTTGTACCAAAAATAAGACATTGCTCTCCACCACTGCAGTAGTCGGTGAGCAGCATTAATTTTTCGTAAGACATTTTGACTTTGTAGTCCACTTGGGGAAGAACTATATTTTTCTTACTTGCCACCTTAGACTCATCTTTAAGCCCAGGCACAGAGGAGCTGTTTTCATTTAAAAGATTTCCCACTGGACTGCAGTCAAACCAAATTACTACCAAAATGACTTTATATATTTTAATTTCCTTAATAATGTCAATAAGAACTTCACATCAGGCTGTTTCTAGATACTAGTATATGAAATATACCTTAGGAATATTCAAAATTTAATTGTACTGGAAGTAATTAAGAAAGAGCAAGTACTTCTTTCCCTGTTTTTCACTTGCAACCTGCCCCAACTCCTCTGCGTCTACACCCTAAGAGCCATAAAATAGTTCTACCTCAGAGCTGCCTGGGGGGCAGGATTAGGAAGGAGGAAGATTCTCATATGGGGGGGGGGGGGCAGTCTTTAATATATGGAACACTATCTTTTGTGTTTTATTTTCTGTTCGGCATTTCTTCCCTTCAATTCTAAGAGTGAACGTACTGGTCTGGGTGGGAGTGTGAAGAGAGGTGCGAAGTGTAATGTAAGTTCTGTCCCTCCTCTTCAAACGTTTTTATATTGCCATCTATTCCTTTCGTAAAGGATTAAAGGGCTACTGTGCTCCCAAAGGAACAAAAATATATGCGATATTTTAACAAATAGAAATAGAGCCTATTTTAGTTAATAGGACTAAACATCATAATGCAATCTTTTCTAGCAGGTAATCTCAAAGCTTGAATTAATAGCTTGTATATGGAATGAAATAGAAATTATTTTAAAGGGAATGAAATTATGGAAGCTCAGTTAGGGAGGTTGGATTTATTTACACTATGTAGCCATTCAGATTTATGCACTGTAATAAGCAAGGAATTATTAGTAAGACAGTATACTATGTATTGTTCTAAAATTGACCCCGGGATGTTCTGAATTGGTTCAATTTGGTTTCAATCCGTTTGACTCTTAAACAGTCTTGTGAAGTAGCCCGAGTAAGGGTACACTCCCTAAATACCACCACTCTCAAATCCTTTTATGATGAAATCAAGGCTGAAATTCTTCATCTTTGGTAAATGCTTTTGATACCTGTCAAAGAATGGGCAAAATCTCCAAAGCATGAAAAAAAAGCCAGAGTAGTACTAGAAGACAGAGGTCAGCAAACTGGCCCACAGGCTAAACCTCCTGTTTTTATAAACAAGGTTTTATTAGAACACAGCAATGCCCATTCATTTACTTTTGTCTGGTTGCTTTGGAGCTACAATGGTGGCAGAGTTGAGGAGTTACAACAGAGAATGTAAGGCCCACAAAGACTAAAATATTTTTTACTCTCTGGCCCTTCACAGAAAAAATTTGCTTACCCCTCCTCCTTGAAGAGACTTACTCTGCCTAACTCTACACCTATACCCAGCCAGACCAGTTTCTAAAAAGAAACAAAATTTTAGTGAACTTACGGCCAAGTATAGTATGTCTAGAAGTTAATGTACAAAGACATAATAACTAGGTTATAATTGATTATTAAAATTAAGTATCTTATCCATCCCCTATGTGAAAAGGATGAACCTATTATTGGGACAAAATCTCTTTAGGTGATAAGGGTACCTTAATAGCTTCTCAGTTCTTTGGAAAAGCATGCCTGATCAGTGATTCTATCTGATTAAACAGGTAGTGCTTGAGAAAGTGCAGTCTCAAACCTACTTCTATTGTTTTGATAGTGGGTTTTTTTGATCCTTTCATATTAAATAAAAATCATGCCATCACATTGGTAGATTTTCTACTACAGTAGAGTGACTGCTAAGATCTTAGAAGATGAGAAGAATATTCATAGTCATCTTTAATTTATATAGCTTGGTTTTTATTTTTAGAACAACAGTTAGTAAATGAAAGTACAGGATAACACATTGAGATCAAAGAATTATTCCTAGATTCAAGTCATAAATTGCCTAATTTTGTACAAATGTTTTCCTTTCCTGCCTCCCCCTTTTTTATATGTTGAGAAATTTCTCTATTCTGGGCTTCCAAAATAAGGTCAAAATCTGAAAATATAGGGGTGGTTTGGGCATAGGCACATAGCCAGTGGAGTAAAATTAGTAATTGCTTACAACTCCTCTAACAGCACATACCAGAAAATCATGTACTGGTTGCTAACCATCATTCTGTCACATGGCCTAGTCATAATTTAGCCTTTAGCCCCATCTTCAGTTAAGGAAGCTCCTAATCTGGCTTTTATTATTGTGTGGAATAAACATTATTACAGGAATATGGAAAAATCTCATGCATTCTCTAAGCCTTTTTATTTAAAATATTTTGAAATGAATAATTTGAATCCTAATTGTCCACATAAAATAAGGCTCATTCATATTTGAGGTAGTGGCTGTGTTTCTTTACTATAAAAGCTTTGCCAATTTTCTGTTTCGGGAAAAGGTATATTGTTAGTCTTGTAATAGGAATATAGATCCTCTAACTTTGCCTTCACATGAAAAGGATTTTGGTGACCTGTTTA